AGAGAGATGGGGGAGGGAAAGGCAGAACCATTCACACACAGAATGAGCAACAAAGATACTATCTCAGTTAGTGGGGGAAAGTTTAGTCTTTCCTATAATGGTGCTGAGTCCCTACAGAAAAAGGAACATGATATGAAAAAAAAAAGAACCCACCATAAATGAAAACTAATTCAAAATGGAGCACAGACCGAAATGTAAAGCTAAAACAAGAACATCCAGAAGAGAACAGAGGACAAATATCTTAGTAGCCTTAGGTTTTGGCAAAAGAGTTTTCTTAAATAATACACAAAAATCGTGAACTATCAAGAAGGAGAAGAATGGGCTGGAGATGTAGCTGAGATGGTAGAGGACTTGCCTAGTATGCTTGAAGTCCTGGGTTCTATCCCCAGTGTCACATACACAAGGTATGATGTGCATGCCTATAATCCCAACACGGGAGATGGATGTAGGAACATTAAGAGTTCAATGCCAGATTCAGCTGCATAGAATATTTGAAGCGGGTCCGGGCTACATAAGATGCTGTCTCAAAAGAGTAAGAGGAGGAAGAGGAGGAGGTGGTGACAAAGAAGGGCAAGAAGAGGAGGAAGTAGAGGAAAGGTGATGGCGGTAAATGTAGTCCATACAACTGCCGGTCTCGTGGGGTAACAGACAAAGGAAAATGAGCTCAAAGGGAGGAAAGGAATTTAGATCAGACTGAAAAATGGCTTGGCATCGAACTGAGTTACTAGGGAGAAGTTTGGGCATGTCCGTGTCTCGAAATCTGATATAAAAGGGTGAGATCTATTTTATTTACTTTGATGGAAAGAGAGCTGAGGAGGACACTCGAGAACAAGATGCATTTGTCTCCTTCGGCCCCAGATGTTTTTCTCTCCTTGGCATGGAGGCAGATGTGGCTCGTCAATACTTTCTAAGTGCCTCATCCATCTTCACTAAGTCCTGGGAGGGAGGCAGGTGGCAGTTTCTGCCTTTTGTAGACACCCCGCCAGAGGCCACACAAAACTTCACTTGCACAGGGGGTGTGGGGAGGTAAAACTCCAATCCTCATTATTTCTCATTTATTTCTCTCTGCATCGTAAATATCAATGTGTGTATAGCTTTAAAGCAATTGTGGCATCTCACACATTCATTTATTTTAAAACCATTTGTTCATTTTTTCTGTATGCAACAATTTGAGCCTGGACATAATAGGGGGGAGGGAATTATGGGAATTCAGAATCAGTATAAAGCATCAGCTGGGCCTTCTAGGAGTTGACAAGCTAGTTGGGGTGGGGGTACAGTAAGAAACATATGCATGAGATATGTTTGTAATTGTAAGAAAGTGTGTGTATGTGTGTGTGTGTGTGTGTGTGTGTGTGTGTGTGTCCTGAAACAGGACTGCAGGTGTTCAGAAAAGGAAAACCTTAGTAACTGAAGGAGGTCATTTGACTAAAAATTCAGGAGAAATTTGTACATGAGGTCAGACCTCAGGAGATCACCAGCTAATAAAATGGTAACAAAGGTGGTGTAGGCGGTAGGTACGCAACTGCCACCTGTTCCTGCACTATATAGTAGCATCTCCAACTGATAGGTAAGGAAACTGAAACTTGGAAAAGGCACATAGTTAGAGGCAGAGTTAGGAGTTGTATCTAAGTCTGTTTAGCCTCCAAGACCAGGTCCTTAACCATCCTGTGGCTTTTACCAGTCAGAGGACTCAGGACCACACCCAGCATCTTTCCAATCCACACAGGCTAGCTCTCCAGCAGAAGCCTTGACAACAGCAGACTTGTGGAGGACAAGGAAGGTATAGGACTATTAGAAGCCATGCTACGATTCATGCAATTACAGACCAGAGAAGCCTTGGCTGTGTGGTCTGAGCACCCCTCCTCTCCCCAGGCAAGTCAGTGGTCCAGGCTTTTTTCTAGCCCAGGAGGCTGGTTTATCTCAGGCCCTGACAAGGAGGACTCCTCTGCTGCCTGCCAACACCTTCAAGGGACCTGACTGAGAAACCCCCTCAGGGACCAGACTGCTAATTACAAAGCCAGAAAGCATTCCTTTTGGTCCACACAGTCTCTCCAGGAAATGCCTTCCCACATGCATCTGTTCTGTCCAGGCACTGATGGTGCTTTCCAATCTGAGTCCCTTCACGTATGAAACATACTAGTGGACCTCAACACTATTACTATTTTTTTTTTCACTGATCTGAACATTCCTGAA